ATATATATATATATTTTTTTTTTTTTTGACTGCATGGAATCCCATTGTACAATTGTACCATAATTTGTTTAATGTGGCCTCTATTTGAAAACATGAAGGTTTCTTCCAATCTGTTGCAGTTACAAAAAGAAAAACAAAACATGTCTTAGTTTATCTCTAAGGTGCCCTGGTGTTGAAATGGTTAAGGGCTAACTGCTAACGAGAAGGTGGGCAGTTGGAAACCATCAGAAGCTTTGAAGGAAGGAGAAAAAAATATGGTGATCTGCCTAGAAAACCCCATGGGGCATTTCTACTCTGTCCTACAGTGTCGCCATGAGTCAGAATTGACTCAATGGCATACAACAACAATAGTTGGTAGGATAAATTCCCATAAGCAGAATAGTAGGGTTAAAAATCACACGCATTTTAATTTAATTTTGCCAAATTGTCTTCCATAGAGGTTGTGTCAATTTACACTCCCACCATCAGTGTATGAAAGGACTGGTTTATCTACATGCTTGCCAACATATTATCAAGTTTTTTATCTCTGCTAATTTGATAGGATAAAGTGATATTGCTATCTGGATTTGTTTTGCACATCTGAGTGTAGCAGAGACAAAGCTATGTGGACAGCATAGCTCCACCCTACCCCCACCCCAGACATACAGCTAAAGTATGTTTTTCCAGCCGCTTATACATTTAGGTAGGGGTGTTATAACTTATTCTTGTCAATGGAATAGGAGCAAAAGTTATATGTTACATTCCCAATGCAATTAGGAGTTGGTATGCTTCCTCTGGTGGGAGCCTTCGTGGCACAGTAGTAGCTTGGCTGCTAACTGACAGATCAGTAGATCAAATCCATCAGCTGCTCTGCAAAAGAAGATGTAGCAGTCTGCTTCTGCAAAGATTACAACCTTGGAAATCCTATCAGCCAGTTCTACACTTTTGCATGGGGTTACTATGAGTCGGAATCAAAAGCAACAGATTTATGCTTCCACACTGCCAACAACTTTAGGGGCCAGTGCTCCATGTATTGCAACTACAAGATGGAATAAAGCTGCCCAATCCCTAACAGACTACGTGAGCAAGAAATAAGACACTGTGTTAAGTTACTGTATTAGTCATGTTAGTCCTTATGACAGTATAGTTTCACTTGACCTTGACCAATTCAGTAAGTAAAGTTGAGAATAATTAATATATGTAAGAGACTTTTACGTTTGTTCACAGTAATCTTCTATTATTATCCTTAGTCTATTTTTCAATCAGCAAGTTTATACTCTTAGGCACTATACCATATTAAATGAATTGAAAGTGGCTGTTTGCAGAAGATAAACTAGATGAATGGGACGTTCTAAAAATTAAATTTTTATGTGCTACCAAAGACTTCTCCGAAAGAGTCAATAGAGAACCTACAGATTGGGAAAAAAATATTTGGCAATGACATACCTGACAAGGGACTTATCTCTAGAATTTATAGAAAACTCCATCACCTGAACAACAAAAAACCAAATAATCCAATTAAAAAATGGGCAGAGGACATGAATAGACACTTCACCAAAGAGGATATTCAGAGGACCAACAAACATATGAAGAAATGCTCACGATCATTAGCCATTAGAGAGATGCAAATCAAAACAACGAGATACCACCTTGCCCCAGCCCTAGTAGCAAAGTTCAATAAGACAGAAAATAACAAATGCTGGCGAGGATGGGGAGAGACTCTCATACATTGCCAGTGGGACTGTAAAATGGTACAAACACTGTGGAAAGCAATATGGCAATTCCTTAAAAAGTTGGAATTAGAAATAACATTTGACCCACCAATTCCATTACTAGGTATATAACCTAAAGAAGTGAGAGCCAGGGTAAGAACAGACATATGCACACCTATGTTCATCTCAGCACTATTTACAATAGCCAGAAGATGGAAACAACCTAGGTGTCCATCAGCTGAAGAATAGATAACCAAACTTTGGTACATACATACAATGGAATACTATGCAACACTAAAGAATAACATAGAATCTGCAACACCACATAGCAGGAATGAACTTGGAGGACATTATGCTGAGTGAAATAAGTCAATCACAGAAGGACAAATATTGTATTAGTCTGTTATTGTAAAAAGTCAAGGAAAGGTTTCTATGTGGAAGGAAATTTTCTTTGTTGGTTACCAGGGGTGGGAGGGAGGGGAGAGAACACTGTTAGA